ACATGCCATCAAGTCAATTTTCACTTATGATGACTCTTTCCAGGATTTCCTGGGCATAGAATACACAGAAGTGGTTTAGCACTCCCTTCTTTTGGGATTGCTCTGGGATGGTGCAGCTTGCCCAAGGCTACACAGACTGGTATTTTCCATGGGAAAGTTACCTAAAGCGCAAAATTCAAAACACGAAGAGTGGGGTGACCCATGTCCACTCTTCTCGCAGGAGAGTCTGAACAGGAGAGCCTCCACTATCTGTGGAGGGTTCCATACGATATGAAAGTCTTGAAGGTATCAACACCCCCCCCCCTTTGGACTCATCTTCTATACCTCTGTCCACCTTCACTGTCCTGAGCACTGGGTCTTATCCAATCGGCATGCAAAGTCAATTCTGTATTTCACATACACACATAAAAATTTCCTCTCAAAGCATATTCTCCTATTGTCAGAGAAAAACAAATCCACTTTCACGGACTACCTAAAGCATGACTGTAACAAAAAATGCTGGGAAGGGATCTGGGGTAAGGGAGAAAGAAAAGGAAAGGAATCTAGAAACCTATGAGACACTTTTTCCTGACTGCATTAAATGAGATTATCTGTTACCCATTTATGATAACTTTGTTCCAATAATGCTTTTCTGTGGCTTGCGGTCAATACTGCAATATGAAATTCTAAATTCATGTCTGAGGATAACACACTGGGTTTGCTATCAAATGCTTCTCTTTCCTTCCAAAGAAAGCAGCTGATGCAGAAGTAACTGCGCAGGGCAAGGTAGTTAAACTGGCCACAGCAAGAATACAATGCATTGTTGGTCTGGCTTTTCCTTTGGCTAAGTCGTTCCCTTCTAGAATCGGCCAGTAACTGAACACAATTTAGCACTTTAAATGCTTGGTCGTTACCCCTCTGTGGTGCATTGTCCAGTTCTCTCTTCCTGGTGGTATGGGGATATTATAACAATATCACAATTTGGCTGAGGGTATTGAAACGTGAAGAACAAATTTTTCAGTGATTCGCCCTAAAAAACCCCAACAGCCTAACACTATTTATAGGCTTGAGTTTGCAAGAGCTGAGCAGGGCTGCTAATCATGGGGCATTTCCGGGGGGGGGAGGGGATGTCATTCATTCTAAGGGTTGCCATAAACAGGAGGTGACCTGATGGTGAGTACCAACAACAACAACAACAACAACAACACATAGGCAACACAATTAAAGATACTGATTTATACAGGATAACTAAATTAACTCATTCTACTCAGACTGAACATAGTCAAGGTCAAACGTCATTCTATTGTTTCTGCATGTTTTAGTTATAATAATCTTAATTTTAGAACAGCAGAGCTGGAAGGGACCTTATGGATCATCGGGTCCAGCCCCTGTCAAGGAAGGGCCAGTGGGGAATCAAACTCTCAACATCTGGCTCCACAGCCAGATATTTAAGCCACTGAGCTTAGATATGTTTTAGCTGCCACCAGCTGTTAGGGTAATCCTAGTTATGGATCCTATGACCTCTGGGGAAACAGGATTATGTTCTTCCAAGGTTTCGTCTTTCTGGGATTGTGGTACACATCTGCCTCTAATGTATGCCTATTGATAATGGATAAATAGGATGCATTAATTTTAAACAATAATAATAATCTGGTGAACCTTGGACCCTTAAAATGTTAATCCTTGTGAATGTAAACTTGGGTTTAAAAAATTACATATTTTAAAAAGGCATCCACTTGTACCTTAATTCAATAATTAAAGGGTTAATTATATGCACCATAAAAAGGCACTCTATGATTTATGATGCACACCCACCCCCTATAATCTGGTCATAAATAAAAGGGCTGGTGATAAGGAAAAGCTGCAGGCAAAAGAGCAACTCACCATCTTTAATGGGCAGTTATATGACATGCTTCTAGTACATTGGCAGTAAATCAGCAGAAACATCTTTTATAGAGTCCTGGGTTTTATGATGTCATTAACTTTCCTCCTTATACTTAAGGCATAATGAAATAAAGTCATGAGGAGGGATCAAAGGATGAGCCCGTGCTGTGTAAGTTTGAGGCAGCCGTAAGAGAGATGCCTTCACCCAATTCTGCTGGCGGGCAAGGATGGGGGGTGGGGGGAGAGAGAAGCACTGGGTGAAGCAGAGCAGTTGCAGGGCAGCAAAAGGGAGGAGGTGAAAGACCACAAACTTTTGGCAAACTCTGAATACTGTTGCAAAGCACTAATGAAAAGTTTTTATGAGAAGCACCTCTTTAATCAATGGTCTACAGCTTCCAAGTCCTGCGATTTAGCATGAATTTTTAACATACTGGATGGCAAGATCAGCCTGAAGTTCAAAGCTGTTCTGAGACACAGAAGTTGCATTTAAAATTGAAGGTTAATATGACTGTCTAGGGGGAATAAAACTTCTGTGTCGGGTGCAGCCTTTGTAATAATAGCTAGAACTACTCACAATTGGGTAGGCTGTCTCAGAATTCTGGTTTTTCCACAAAGCTGTTTTTGATGAAGTCAGAAAGCATCCATTCTAGAAAGCAACAAACTCCCCAAGTTGTGCAAAGGTGGAGCATCAAAGTCAGTGAAACATGACAAATTTCTGGGCACAGGCCTTTCTTCATGGGGGAAAAGAAGTTTTGTACTAGATAATGCCCAAAACACCTTTCTGCATGAACGCATATACAGTAGTGGAGTGGGTGGTACCTCAGATAAAGACTTTGCACGCCTGACCCTGTTGACTAATTTTAGACTCTGCAAGACATGCATATTGGTCAGGACAGGACCAGCTGCTACTCTCTTTATGCACTCATTCTGTTCAGACAGAACATCTGAAAACAGCTAACATCTCTTCTCCTGGGTATTTTCAAAACTGCATTTGGATTTGCCATCTTTCCAAAGAAATCTTCAAACATTTTCTGCAGTTAGACATCTGCCGTTCTAAAGTGCTGTACCCTACTTTACTTGGGCAGAAGCACCATCAAAAAAGGCACTCTATGATTTTAAAGAATCTTGTTTAAAAATCTGGAGAACCCAACAAGAGCCTACAATAATGGCTTATATGGAGTAGCGGTCTAACTTATTATGAGGTAGCTTCTTCAATTTATTGTAAAATGTTTTTAGAAACCAAAAGGGAGTGAAAATCACACTGCACCTAAGAAGTAATAAGTGATCCAATTATGTTGTTGCAAAGGATGAAGGACCTGACATATAAAGGCATATTATATTATGTTAATTTTGTAATAAAATGTTGTTATTTAAAAGTATCATAAAGGTGTTTCGCTGAGACACTGCATGCTTAGGCTGCTATTGGTAATACCCCTATTAACTGGAACTATCAGCTGTACATTTTGACTATTAATTCTGTAGAAAGCTCTGTTCAGAGACCCCTTTGCTAGCAGAGTAAACAGCAAGGGGTTTCCTTGTGAACTTTCAAACCCACCTTATTGTTCTATCCTCTGGAACAATAAACGAGGCAGAGTTGAAACCATACAGATAAAGTCTACTCTTCCAGAATACCTCACTGGGCATCTGTGGGCCAAGAGAGGTGGGGCTCCAGAAGATTCTTACAATACTATGTTCACTGAAAATATGCATGCAATAGTTCAGCAGAAGAATACATAGCCATCGAAATACTTACTGCCTATTCATATCCATCCTTCTTGGTATTACGCTTTCAACTCTAATCACACAACAGTCCAGAGACAAGGTAGGTTTAACAACGCCACTTAAAAAAGGTGGAGGGAGAAAGGGCAAGGATGCAGGCTATCTTATATGCTGTGACGCTTCCTAGAATAAGAAAATCTGTTACGGCGATGCTTCTTAGACGGCTTTATGCATTCAAACTTCTCTAAATGAAGGACTGCTCCATGCATCGAACATAACCATTCAGATGATTGTATACCATTACTGAAAATTGAACTGAGCCTGCACAACCTATGCGGAATCCCAATTTATCACAGGAAACGGTTTTCGCCAGCCCATTCACATAATGAATGTGGATATAAAGTTAGTACCAAGGAAGATGAGAACCCTGTGGGTTGTTTAACTCAACTTCCTCCTCTGTCATGACTTGCATTATTTCTTTATAAAATATGTGTTGCTTTGGGCAAAGGAAATGCAAGGGTAAGAGACAATGTCTCTTCAGATTCTTCCACTATGAAAAGCTATGACCTTGGTGCAAAATGACATGAAACAAACGGAGTAAAAACAAAAAACCCTTAGCTTTAGTGGTATTGTTTCCAAAAAGATACTCATCCCATAACATCTGAAGACAAAATAGCAAAGAATCTAGGAATAAACTAGCAAGAAGACAGCCAGGTGAGACAAGTCAATGGACAAAAGTCTTGTAGCCATGCTGACGGCTTTCTAAACACCAGTTTAATCCTCCAAGGACATTTTATTTGTTTCATGCATGTATATAACACTTTACAACCACATCATTCCCAGAATAGGTTGTAACAAAGTGAATCATATGGTTGTTGTGAGTTTTTCGGGCTCTTTGGCTGTGTTCTGAAGGTTGTTCTTCCTAACGTTTCGCCAACCTCTGTGGCCGGCAGAGTATGGACAGAGTTCCTACTCCAGTCCTCTGAAGATGCCGGCCACAGAGACTGGCGAAACGTCAGGAAGAACAACCTTCAGAACACGGCCAAAGAGCCCGAAAAACCCACAAGAACCATTAGATCCTGGCCGTGAAAGCCTTCATGAATACAAAGTGAATCATCATTACCACTACCATCAGGTGTCACTCAGTTGGTTCTGATTTATGGCGACCCTTTTCAGGGTTTGCAGGTAGAGAATACTCAGAAGCGGATTACCATTCCCTTCTTCTGAGGGTACCCTGGGACTGTCTATGTTAAACAAGGCCACCCAGGCTAGCTCTTCTCCCAGGAGACACTGGGGAACTGGGTTCCTAACCTCTGTCTCTGCAGCCAGGTACCCACGTCACTAAACTATTCAGTCATAACAAAATAAAGCAGCAATTAATTTGTTACATCTCCAGTAGCATTAGTAGAAAACCTCTGTGTTCTTTGCTTTAAAATCTTATATTTTACAGGAACACAAGGTTTTTGCAGAAAATACAAGTTTTTTTTTAAAAAAGTGCATATTACTTTTATTTATTTCTTCTCTTTTTTGCAGCAATAACACTTTCACAATTTTTTGCAAAAAACTACTGAAATAAACACGAAACCTCTCAGAATCATAGCCAGTGGGGAGAAAACTTTTGACTTTTTTTTTTCATTTTCACCTCCAACAATCAAATAGGTAACAATTTATATTCCTAACATGACAATGGATGTGGAAACAGATATCTCAAGCCTGTTCGAAAACTTCAAACCTAATCTCAAATTTACTATAGGTAGCAGCATCAGACTTCATCTGCTCCAAATCAAATTTTGTAAACAAACAAACAGAAAAACACAAAATAGAAATAAAAGATAAATCCTTGGTAAGCTGGTTGAATTCAAAATAAAAGACTTCCAGGCAATATGGTAACTCATATTTCATAAACGGCAGCCACGCCTCCTCATTTCTATGCATGAGTCTGACAGACACACATTTAAACATCTACCTGTTTTGAGAAGTAATCAAGGTTTTGTGACAAGAGTTTCTTCTTTCAGCACCTCGACTGCATGAGCCAGGGAACAACCACAGAAAACTGAGAACCCAAAATGTTACGAGGAAAATTAAAATAAAGCATTTCAGTTTCAAATGAACATGCAGAGGAGCGGAAATTAAAGCTATATACCTAAAATGCCGAAGCACAACTGTTGCTAAGTGTCGAAACACTTGTTTTGTGGATCGAAGGTTGCATGGTTCGTCCCGGTATTTCCACCCAGGCATTCTTGAACTGCAGCTCCCGGATGCCTTCATCGCTAGCTGTGCTGGCCAGGATTTATGGGAGTTGCGGTTGAAGAATATCTGGGCACCCAAAGCTGGGAAACACTACTCACTTAGAAGAATCAGATAGTAGTTGAGGGGAATGGCCCTTCTCTTCCTTAAACCCTGTCCTCTGAAATAAACTACAGTACATTAGAATAGATGGGGAAATAGTCTGACCTGACACAAGGCAGTTTTTGGTGGTCTTGCGAGAACCTACCAAGTACAAGGAAGGGGACAGCAGACATGGGATGATGCTGGCAGGCCTTAACAGTTTGAATTCCCAAAGCCTCTTGCTGCCTGTCCTTAGTTCCAAGAGTTCTTCCATCCCCTTAGGCTAGAGCTTCCAGAGCAGCAGACGAGACTAGAACCATGTTCACAGCTTTTGAACGATGCACTAAGGCATTCAGGATATTTTCTTATTTTATCACACTTTACTAAAACAGAGATTCTGGCAGACAGATCAAGGTGTCAATAACATCTCACTGAACTAAAGAATTATCTTCTATTGGGATTGCCTGCCTGCCTATTTTACTGGCTCACTGTCTGTCTTGAGCCATCTCTAGACTGCCAGTCCTGGCATATATCAGGAGCCCAGCTCTCAAAATACTATAATTGTCAGGCAAACTGGCAGGAAGCGACCTCTCTTTTTAAAAAGGCCTTCATCTTCTTTTCTACACTCCTGACAATCCCACAAATTTCTATCAGCCTGGTATAGAAGACAGTTCCCTTTACCTCCAAAACTGTGCAATGCTTTTGGAAGTGAAGGATTGGCTGGCCGCACATCCTTGCCCAGGGGATTCACGAGTGTACTTGCAATGCTTTCCCACTCTTTGGGGAGGCTCCTTCTGTGTCCCAGAGATCAAGACTTTAGCTGAACCATCTGGAAGTCATTTAATAGACTTCAAAGTGAAGTAGGTAGATCAAAGAATAATCAAGTAAAGGGGGGCTTTAGAACAAATATTCTGTGATATGGAGAAATCCAATCAAGGCAGCATTTACATGCATGCAGTTTATGCCCCACCATGTATACAAAAGAAGCTCTAGCAAAGGACTGAGATAACACTATTGAAATAGTCTGCTTCTGGTCAAAAACAGTCTAATTGTCTTAACATTTTAATTTCTTTTTGAATGTACTTATATTTCATACACATCCATAATGTTAAAATGTGCAATGTTCAAGAAAGATCCAAAACGGTTAAGGCCCCTTGCTTTCAACCCTTTCTACGGCAAGTGACTACAGTAACATGTCATGATGTTCCGCAGAACCCTGACAAGTTCTCCTTTCCCACCCACCCCCTCTTGGAATTCTGGTAGCAATCTTTGCACAAGCAGAATGTTCATAATTCTCCTAAGAGTTAATTAATTACATCCGGCCACATCTTCCCCAGCAGCACTGCCAAACTCAAGGGTGTGAGTGACTGTCTGGAACAAAGAAGGGAAACTGAAGTGCCATAGGTAGGAGACAAACGTCTGGTGGAGCACCTGAAGGATACTCATAGAACCTAATAGCGCACCTGAATTCTGGACACACTGTGTTAGGGACAAAAAATCAAAGCAGGGAAGCTGATATCCTGTCAGCCAGATGCACTGCTGTCGTTTTTATGTGCCAGCAAGTCGCCTCTGATCTACGGCGACCTTATGAATGAGCCA